ATAGAATTCTGCCACCTCAAAAAATGCAAAAAAAAATAAAAAAATGTGATTTTTCCACCCTCTCAAAAAAAAAAAAAATCAACAAATGCATCAAAATCCAGGATTCTTTCACCCCCCCAACAAAACCATCAACGCCATCTAAAAGCAGGATTCTACATCCCAAAAAAACTTGATAAAAATTGTCAAAACCCAGGATTCTGCCAACTCCCAAAAAACTCAGTAAAACTATCAAAAAACAGATTTCTGCCACTGCCAAAAAACTCCAAGAGAACCATCAAATCCATCAAAACTCGGGATTCCACCCCGCTGCATCAGGGAAGGGAGGAGGATGGAGGTGGAACGCTGAGGGAAGAAGGAAATATCCAAGTTCTAAAGGAAAAAAAAATGCCACGGAAGATGGAGCATTAGAAAAACAACTCATCAGTCACAACCCAACATTTGGGTCCCGCTTTAAAGTGAAAAGAAAACCCATAAATTGTATTTGTAAAGAGTATTCCCTGCTCCTCAGTGCTGCAAGAAGAGACAGAGGCTGTGCTCGAGCTGGAGGGTTTATTGAGCGTCTGCAGGAGAGAGAATAAACCCACCTTGACTTTGGTGGGATTTTGGCTGGGGAGGGGCAGGGTGGGGGGGGTTCTGGATGAGGAAAATCCGCTTCCTTGTGTCTGTTCTTTGCAGGGCCCCCCCTTTTGGGGTGGCTGAAGTGCTGAGGGACCCCCCTGTGCCTCATTCCCAGACCCAGAAGGCAGGAAAACGCTGCTCCGAGTGGGATCCAGAGGTATTTCCGTGCAAGCGAACCAGTCCCAGGTCCATCTCCACGCTCTCCTGCAGCCCCAGCAGCAGCTCCCACGTTCCAGCAGACCCAAACACCCTCCCAAACAGGCAGCGGGGAACTCCTGCACCCTCAGCCCTTCCCAAGGAAAAGGAGTGGGAGAGGTTTGCTCCTCTGGCAGGAACGGGATGGGGACAACCCACGGCAGGGACAGGAGCTGAGGGACTCGGGGATTGAAAGAGCTGCTGCTTCTGTTCTGGGGTTGAGGCTCTGGGGAAGATTTGGAGAGTTTTCCCCAGAGATTAAATGTAGCTGTAATGGATTTAAAAAAACCCAAACAAACCCAAAACAATCCCAAACAACAAATCCCACAAATCTTCCCCGCTGAAGGACTCAGCTGTGCCCCAGCGTTTTCCTGTCAGGCGGGGGTGAAATTTTTCCTGTAAAAATTTGGGAGCAGGAGGATCCTGGCCTGGCATTGCTGTCTCAGGGCTGGAGAATCAATCCTGCCTTGCTCCGGGCAGTCCTGCCGGCTCCAAGTCAATCCCAGTCACTGGTGGGATGGGACTGGGGAGAGGAGGGGAGGTGACACGGTGACACAAACTTATTTTCCCACGGCTGCCATGGGGGTTTTCCAGAGGAGGGAGCGAGACTGGGAGGTGGGGGTGGCACCTCACTCCTCCCCGTGCCCGATCCCACACGGATCTCCAGCCCCCAGCCCCCGGCTCTCCATGGAAGGTGCACGGGGGGCACGAGCCGTGGGCTGAGGAGGGGTGGGCACGAGCTGGGGGATCCTTAGGGATAAACGGGACAAAGCTCCAGACCCCTGGAAGCCCCGATGGGCTGGAACCAGCGGGGCTCAGCTCCGGGCTCGGGGGGGGTTGGAACCGTGTGAGAGCAGCCCCAGCTGGGTGGTTTCATCTCCCCCCCTTTGCTCTGGAAATGCAGAAGTTGTGCTGTGGGAAAGCAGAGCTCAGCCGGGGCAGCGCAGACGGCGCCGAACCTCAGCCCTGCTGGCGGTGGGGGGGGTGAGGGGGGAAGGGTTTTTTGGGGGTTTTTTGGTCTCTTTTTTTATCTTCTTTTTTTTCCTCTTGCTGTCCTTTAGCTGCACTACGCTGTGGTTCTGGGCTCCTCCTCGGTGCCCAGGGCGGACTACGGGGAAAGGAGGTTTCTGACAGTCCTGGGTGGCACACGGGAACACCCCCGTGCCCGGCGGTGCCAGCGGGGCCGGGGGGGGTCAGCTTATTATACAGCCTCCCTTCTCCTTGAAGGGGTTCTTGTCCTCGGGGACTCCTTTCAGCAGCGGGTCCTCGCCCGCCATGGACTCGATGTACTCCTTGAGCTCTTTGCCGGTCTTGGAGACCTGCCGAGGAAGGAGATGTTCCGTGTTTGGGATGGGATCCTCCCAGAGACCCGCCCGGGCAGTGGGAAAAGGGGACTGTGGCCAGGGATGTCCCACCCGGCACGGGGTGTCCCCAGAAGAATTCCCAGGGGGGTTTGGACACCTTGCCAGGTGCAGTGGGAGAAGGGGACCGTGGCCAAACATCCCACAAAACGCGAGTGTCCCAAAAACATCCCCAGGGTGCACTGGCCAGGTGCAGTGGGAGAAGGGAATTGTGGCCAAGGACATCCCACACAATGTGAGAGTGTCCCAGGAGCATTCCCAGGGTGTTGTGGACACCTCGCCAGGTGTGGGGTAGGATCTGGGATGTGGGGCTAAGAAGGGAATGTTCTCCTGGAGGGGAGAGGAGGAGTGCAGGTGCTTCTGCTGTGTTTGGGGGTCAATTTTAGGGCAGGAAAGGAAGTCACCAGCAGGTCAGAGCATTTTGGGTGGGAAACTCACCATTTGCCTCTCGTTCTTCACCTCCTTCTTCAGCTGATCCAGCTCCATCTTCAGCAGCTCCTTCTCTGTCATGTCCTGAGCCATTTTGCCCTGGAACTGCAGGGAGATGGCTCGTTATTGGGATTGTTGCTTTGTCCCCACAGTGTTGCAAACCCCCCCAGTGTCCCACTGCAAAAGGAAACGGAGGCAGGAGCCACCTCTCAATCCCCTTCCTGCCACATCTGCTGTTCCCAGATTTTCCTTTGCTCCTTCCAAGCAGGCACATGGAGCAGGAGATGCAGCCTGAGGGCAGGGGAGGAGGATCCAGCCTGGTTTTTAAGGAGTTCTTTGCCACCACCGAGGCTGTTTCCCCAAGAAACCAGGTGGAGGAGAGAGTGAGCCTGGATGATCCTGGAGAGGCACCGCTGCCTCGGGGCTGTGGGAGAACCTGGGTGCCCAGGTCTGCAAACTGCACCTCCCTGAGGGGTGTCCTGTGCCCGGGCAACAACATCTTTGGAGGCTTCCTAAGGAACTAAAGAGATTTCACTTTTTGTTTCCTCCTTGTGCCTTTCCCCCAGGGATCTATAACCCGGATTATGGCTCCTTCATTGCTCTGAACTTGGCTGGTTTTCTGCACTTGCTGCCACTGCAAGTTTTTGGGGGTTGTGTGGGTTGGAAAAGCCCAACCCTTTTCCCACAAAAGCCCATCCAGGGGTTATGTGAGACGCCCCCAGATCTGACCTGCACTGTGAGATCTATTTCCGTGTCCAAACTTGGGTTTTAAAGCCTGGGCAGAACCTTTTCAATCAAAATAGAGGAGCTGGAGCTGAGCTGTGCCCTGGCCCTGTTCGGAAGGTGTCGAGCCCGAGCGTCACTGTGTGCCCCGTGTCCCTCTTCCCATCCATCCCTCGGGACACAGCCGGCCCCGGGAGCTGCACCAGGAGCCCAGAGTGGCACAGCCCACGGGGAAAGTGGCTCCCAAAGCGGGTGGGACCCACCTGGAGCAGCAAAGGCACTTACCTGGGGGGGCAGGGGGGCTGCCCCGCGGCGCGGTGGAGACGCTCAGAGCCCCATCCGAGGGGAGATGCTGCTCTCCTGCTCGGAGCTGGAAGACTCCTCCAGCTCTCCGGGAGGGCAGTGGGAAGCAGATGTCTTTGGCCCTTAAGCTGATAATGGACTCAGGAGAATAAGCTGGTCAGGTGTTGGGAATTAGCCTCAAAGTCCAGGGTAAGCAGCGGGGCTGTGGGGAGGGTGAGGATGGGCAGGAAGGGTGGGCGGGTGACTGGGACACCCGGGAAGTCCTTGAGTCCCTGCCATGGGTGTCTGAGCCTGTGGAGTGTCCAGATCCTGATCTGGGGTGACAGGACTGACCCCTGGGGGGATCAGGGCAGCTTCCCCTCAGTTTAGGAGGGAAATGGGGCGAGGGGGCTGCCACGGCCTCGTCGGGGCCGGGAGCGGCTCGGGAGGCTCTTGGTCCTTCAGGGTGTGAGGAGCTGGGCCGGTGCCGGAGGAAATCCATCATTTCCCTCGTCCTTGTGCTGGAGGAGCCGCGGGCTCAGGAAGGGCCAGGCCCTAACGAGGGGTGTCTCTCCTGTCTGGCTGGTGCAGAGTCACTGGGGCTGAGGACGGGCCCGGGTGGCCCCAAGGAAGCACCTGCGGGTGGAGGAGGAGCCCGAGAGGCCCCAAGGAAGGACCTGTGGGGTGGAGGAGAGGGTGGAGGGGGATTTCCAAGCACGGGGAAGTGGGAATTTCCTGCAGCCTCACCCTGTGGGGATGTGAAACGTCCTCAGCAGAGCAGTGAGCAGGACACGCTGTCCCGGGCAGGGAAGGGACGGCGCCTCGCGGGGTCACTTGGCACATCCCGCTGTATCCCAAGCACAGCCAGGCCCGGGTGACCTGTGTGGGATGCACAGGGGCTTTTCCAGGGAGGGGGACCTGGCAGTGGAATCGCTGCCCTTGGCTGGACCCGGCGCCTGGCCCATAAAGGCAAAGGGAAGGAAATGTTCCCAATGTTCCTCGGATCCCTGGATGTGCCCGTGCCTGGCTCGGCCCCAGCCAGGAGGGCAGCAGTGGCTCGTGGACGGCGGGCACAGGTGGCAGAGATGGGGGTTGGGATCATTTTGGGGGTCATTTTGGGTCACTCCCCCCCACACCCCGCAGGTTTCCCCCCGTGACTCACATCCTTCCCCGCTCCCACCCCCTGCCCGGGGCAGGGCAGCCCCACAGCCGCGTCCCTCGTGGGGCCGGAGCCGCGCCGGCTTCCTCCCCCCCCCGACCCCCCGCTTTTCCTTCTCGGGGCCGCGGGGTGTCCCTGGGGGGGACGGGGACACGGCGGCGCCCGCGGGTCCTGCGTCAGCACCGCCACCGGCCCCCAAAAGCGGCGGCGGAGGAAGTGCGAGCGCAGCCCGGCAGAGATGTCGGAGCTGGAGCGGCTGCGGCAGCGGGACATTCCCGAGGGCCGGCAGAGCCTGCGGGACCAGCACGGCAACCTGCTCAGGGTGGCCGAGTACTGCGAGAGCAACTACCTGCAGGTGCGGGCACGGGGCGGGCACAGCGCGGGGCGAGCCGCGGGCTGGGGATGCGGGGGAGGAGGATGCTGCGACCACCCGGGAGCCCCGGGGCGGTGGGATGGGGGTCCTGGAGGGGTGGCTGGAGGGTGGTGGTGAGGGCTGTGCCCTCAGGGCTGGGAGCTTCCACTCGGGAGCTTCCACTCGGGAGCTTCCACTCGGGAGCCTCCACTCGGGAGCCTCTGCTCGGGAGCCTCCACTCACCAGTTCAGGCTTCCCCCCGAGCATCTCCTGCCTCGGGCTCGTTTTCCCCCTGCCTGGGTTTCCCCTCTTGCTCCACAGCTGCTCTAGCGGTGCTTTTGGGATGAAGGGAGAGTTCCCCGGGGGTTTGATGCCTCTGGGAGAGGACCAGGGACACCGGGCTGTCCCCAGGGTGTCTGAGGTGTCTCCTGGAGGGCAGAGCTGGGTGCCTGCATGTGCAGAGAAAGAGTGAAGCGGAAACTCTGCTGCCATCTTCCTCCTCCTCCTCCTCCCACTGGGACCCCACTGGGGGAAGGGGGACAGGAGCTTTTGGGATGAAATAGGGATAAAAAGGCTTGTTCTGGCCCTCTTTGCTGCGGGAGGGAGGGGTGTCTCTGCTGGAGGGATTTTTGCCAGACTTTTCTGTGGCCTTGCTGGCTCGAGCCAGACCCCGAGACTGCTCCCAGGGGGCCGGAGCTGCCAGAGCAGAACCGAAGGGGAAACGTGAGGAACAGTTTAGAGAACTGAGACCCCGTCCCAGCACAGCTGGGGCCCGGCCAGGTGTCCCACGTGTGGCCTCCTGGTGGCACGGCCCACTGTCCCCAGGGGTGGCAGGAGGCTGAGCCGGGCACTCTGCTCCAGCACCCGCCAAAAACATCCCGGGGAGGATTCCCGATGGATCCCCAGTGCTGGGATCCACCCCCCTGCCGTGGGTCCGTGTGTCCGGCCGGTGGAGCCGGAGGAAGTTTGATGCATTTGGAAAGCAGAAGAGGCATCTCTGCCAGTGTGTGACTCCAGCCTGGAGGGTGGCAGTGCCATGGAGGGTGGCAGTGCCATGTGGGGTGGGCTCCAGGCTGGGTTTCCCCCCTCCAGGCTGGTTTCTCCCCTTCCAGGCTGGTTTCCCCCCTCCAGGCTGGTTTCTCCCCCTCCAGGCTGGTTTCTCCCCTTTCCAGGCCAGCGACAAGCGGAAGGCGCTGGAGGAGACGATGGCCCTGAGCACCCAGTCCCTGGCCAGTGTCACCTACCAGGTCAGCAGCCTGGCCACCGCCTTCCTGAGGCTGCTGGACCTGCAGACGGCCCAGCTGCGCCAGGTGGAGGCCGATGTCACCTGCGTGGCCCAGGTGGGACCGTCCCCCCGGGGTGGGCTCCGGGAAGGGGTGTCCAGGAAGCTCCCAGGCCCAGGATCCTGGTCCTCCAGGGCATCCCCTCCCTCCCAGGCAGGGACACGGGGCTGGGAAGGGTGGTGGGACTGGGAGGGGGCAGCGGGGGGTGGGGAGAGGCCGGGATGGGACCGTGGGCACGGTGTCACCTCCGCAGAGGGTGGACATCCACAAGGAGAAGGTGTCCCGCCGGGAGATCGGCTCCCTGACCGTCACCAAGAGGTTCCCGCCCTGCCAGAAGATCGTGGCCCCCCCAAACCCCCCCAGCCTGGAGCCCTACTACAGGAAACCCCTCAACTTCAGCGTCCTGGACGACATCGGCCACGGCATCAAGGTCAGCCTGGGGCAGGAGGGGGTCCCACGGGGCTGGGGGGGCTCGGGTGGGGGGCCCTGATGTCCCCAGCGCCGCACTGACGGGGGCACGGGTGGGCTCAGAGCCCTCCTCGAGGGAGAAGTGGGGTCTGGCCGTGCCCTGCAGCCCCCCCGGGGACTCATCCTGCTGGGACTCGGTGCTCCCAGCCTGGGGAGGGGGACACAGGCCATGCACAGAGGATGCTGGGGCACACAGAGGGACCCTGGGGCACACAAAGGGACACTGGGGCACACAGAGGGACCCTGGGGCACACACAGGGACACTGGGGCACACAGAGGGACACTGGGGCACACACAGGGACACTGGGGCACACAGAGGGACACTGGGGCACACAAAGGACACTGGGGCACACAGAGGGACCCTGGGCCACACAGTGCTCAGCAAAGCCCACCCGGGACAGTCCTTTCCTAGCCCAGGAGGGGGTTTGGAGCCCTCCAACCCCCACGGAGCCTTTCCCAGCCCCGGAAGGCGCCCAGGGGAGGGTGTTCAGAGGCCTCTGAGGCCCGAAGGGAAGTGGTGACACCGGGCCCGCCGTTCCCACGGTGGCTGGTGCCGCGTGGCCGCCCCCGCAGCGCCGGCTCCTTCCGCAGGGCCGCTCCCACGGGGGGCCAGCAGGGGCCTGGGGGGGCCAGCAGGGGCCTGGGGGGGCCAGCAGGGGCTAAGGGGGGCCAGCAGGGGCTAAGGGGGGCTGCCATCCCCCGTCACATCTCCTGGTGTCCCCGCAGGACCTGAGCACGCAGCTCTCCCGCACCGGCACCCTGGCTCGGAAGGGCACCAAGACCTCGGCGCAGGCCGTGGGCACCCTGGGGTGAGGATGGGTGTGGGATTGGGGGGTGGGCTCGGCCTCCCCGTGTCCCCCGAGCGGGGTGGCAGAGCTGGCACCCCATGCCTGTGCCCGCAGGAGGAGTGCCCGTGTCCCTGAGCCCATCCAGCCGCCCGTGGTTCCCGAGGGGAAGCTCTCGGCAGCCTCCTCCACCTCCTCGCTGGCCTCCATCAGGTACTGGTGCTCTGGGGAGAGCTGGGAGCTCGGGAGAGCCCCGGGACAGCCCCTGTCCCTGCTGGGGGAGGCTCTGCCTCGAGGTGAAACATCGGGGGTTTGGGAGATTCGCTCCCCCTGGCAGGGCTTTGTCTCTAGAGTGAAAATACCCTCTCCTGGAGAGGGTCCCTGCTGGGGAAACTGAGGCACGGGGTGGGTGGGGACAGGGTTTGCACCCACAGCCGGGGGCGCCTTGCCCTGGTCCCCAGAGCGGGGGGCAGAGCCGGCTCCCCCCCCTCACCCCCCTGTTCCTCCCTCCCCCGGCCCAGCGGGGCCCCGGCGGCTCCTGCTGAAGGAATCCCGGCCCCGCCACCGCTGCCCTCCCTGCCGGGACCACCCCCCCCCGGGGCCGCCCCCCCTCCCCGGCGCTGCCATCCCCCCGCCGCCCCCCCTCCCCGGGGCTCTGCTCCCGC